ATCCTGGGTGCCCTGTCTCCTAAATCATGGCCATCTCCCATCAGTTTGTTAGTGAGGAGACCAGTGAGCAGTTCATGGCAAAGTGACTAAGTACATCATCATGCTGACTTAATTTTTGTTTTCTGGTGAAGATCTCCAGTAAAAGACAGTGAGTCTCTTATCCACCACCCCCCCCATTTGCTGCATAATGTCTTCCTTTATTACTAAGCATCTTAGAGCCTTATTTATAGGCCTTATAATCAAGGAACTCATCACCAGATATATGTGTTAGCTTTTATTTCTCTCTTCCAGATATGAGCATCTTACAAAATATTAAGTGGACAAATATTGAAACAATGCAGGAGTTGTTGGGGAGAAGTCAAATGTCATTAATCAGAAAGTAGTTGCCTTATGTTCCAAAATGTCTTCTAATAAATGTCTAATATATAGAAGTTTAACTGATTTACTGTATTTTTATTTTTTCAACAATTTTGTGCTCACTTAAGGAGCACATATACTATATTTTTTCAACAATTTTTTTCTTTCTTTTTTATACTTCGTTTCATCTGCACCTTATTTTACCTAAATGACACTCGGGACCATTCCTTATTTTTGGTTTTGCACAGAACTGAGGATATAGTAGGCTTTTAGTAAATGTTTATTGAATACAAATCCTGGTATCTTCTGCCCGGTGACAAGGTGCAAGGCTGAGTGCATTTCATGTAATTGTTAGAAGAATGGATTCTTCATGTGAAAATAATTTAACAAATGAGATCACTGAATTTTGAATAGGAGTTCTGGAATCTTTTGATATCTCAATGACAGCTGTGAATGGTGATAGCAAAAGCCAATTAACAGAGCTTGGGCCTTCCCACCCAAATTCAACCAGAGCAACTCTCCTTTCTTCTTCATTTATTTATCAATAGCAGTTTATTTAAAACATAAGACACTTTTTAAGATCTCACACCATTGTTGTAAACTACTGAAGCTGATGATTTTATCATTTACTTTCACCTATAAAATGTTCTGATTCAGTAGCCAGTTTCCAAGCAATTAATGGATTTGCAAGTACTCATGTTGGTATATGTTTGTTTGTTTTTACATTTCATTAAGGTTTATTAATCTGGAGTGTCTATAAATTTGCTTGGGACAAAGCCGTATTCCATTTTTACTAAACTCTAATTGAAATTCAGTACTTCTTGTGCTGTCTTTTTCACCAGTAGAAATGACAGATTGTTTTATATGACATTGCATTTATAGAAAATATCTCAAGTTAGCATTTATGGTTGTCAGTAAACTGAAATTACAGTATTATTAGAAACCACCCCCATGAATTTTTGTATTTACTGTTAAAAATTTTTGCTTTCTTATAAATTTGTGTGTGTTTTTTTAAAGATTTATTTATTTATCTTAGAGAAGAAGTTGTACAGGTGAGCAAACACCTGAGCAGAAGGAGGGGCAGAGAAAGAGGAGAAGGAGAGAAGCAGATTTCCCACTGAGCATGGAGGTAGAGATAGAGCTTGATCCCAAGACCCTGAGATCATGACCCAACGGGAAATCAGGAGTTGGTCACCCAAAAGACTGAGCCACCCTGGCACCCCTCTCACAAATTTGTTTTAAAATATATTTTGGTGACTATATTTCAATATGATTACTTTCTTTTGTAATCCTTTAAAACAAAATGTGTACCTGTAAAAATATTCTGAGAGTTCTATGGAGGAAGGGAACTAATAACAAAAAGAAATGCTTCAAACCTCTACTTCAGATTATGACACAGCTGATTCTTACTATGGGATGAGTAGGTAGATTGGCACAGATGTTTTCTCTAAGCATTAGACCTCAGCAGCTGTACCCATTCGGCCAAGATTAGCATCATTCACTGTGTATCTTAACATTTAGCTTTTGGGTATCATTTCATTCTAGAAGTCATAGCTGAATCACCCTTTCTTGAGCAAGAAATTGTGTTTTGGTATTCTTTTCCTTTGTTCATTAGTTTATTTTTCTTGTGGTTGCCCTGCTTTAATTCAGAATTTAGATGCTTTGATAAGATTTTTTTTTTTCCTGCCCAGATCCCTTCACTTGACTTCTCATACCTTGACTTTCCTTGGTGATGCACCCCCTCTCCTACCATCAGTTTCTATGGTTGGAATAGGACCAGTCCCACCTGTATCTGTGATGCTGGATACTTGGTACAGTTCCACTTGGTGAGATGGAAGGGCATGAGACTGATGTGACTCAAATCTAGAATTTTACTATGAAAAGAATCACACTACCAGCTCTGGCTTTGAAGAGAGCAGGATGTATGCCAAGGGCTTGATGGTCCTCTTCCCTTCTAGGGGAAAGAAGCTGCCTGAGAATGGAGTGGACACAGAAGGAAACAGCTAAGAAACATGGCGGGGTTGGGGGAAACACTCAGGCCCTAAAACAAGGTTAAAACATGCCCAAAGTCAATTCTAGCCCTGGACTCTTCAACTATGGGAGCCTGTTAAAGGAGGTCATTGAGAGGACATGACCTCCAATTGACCGGGGAGATCTGAAACTAGGCAATAGGAAGCTCCTCACCCCTCCCTCTCCTTGGAATGCAGTTTACGTTTACCACTCCCACCACGGGAGATGTTTCAAGGATGCAGCGCTGAGAGAGAACTGTGTGATTGAGATCCTCTGAGCCACAGACATGACAGAATCCAGGTAAGAGTTCCATGTGAACATGAGATTCTAGCAGGTGATGCTGAGATCTACTCATCTTGAGGCTTCTGGAGAAAAGCCTCATGTGTAAGTTCCCTTGCTTATTAAACTTGCTGCCTACCAGTCTGCAGTGCCCTCTTTCTTGGGTTCTCCTTGCAGTCCCTGTTGGGTGTGGGGGAGGCAGTTTGTGAACCAACAGAGCCACTGAATCTCTCTCTAGCTTTAGCCAGCTTTAGGTGACCTACATCGAAAAGAACAATAATCTCAGTAAAGTTTATAATACAAGTTTAGGAAGTCGGTATCTTTAAAAGATTTCATTTATTTGAGAGCTGGATTGAGCAAGAGAGAGAGAGAAAATGCATGAGCAGGGGGAGGGAGTGGGAGAACCAGGCACCCCACTGAGCAGGGAGCCCGACTGGGGCTTGGTCCTAGGACCCTGGGATCATGACCTGAGCCTAGGGCAGATGCTTAACCAACTGGGCCACCCAGGTGCCCATAACTCAGTATCTTTACAAGGAAATAATTAAATAATTGTATGGTATAATTCTTTTGTTAAATAATTAAGTCACTGTAGTATAATAGGCATTTGTTGATCGCTGATATAAGTCCCATATGCATACTTAATGTATGTGGCAACTATGGATACAATCAGAACATTCTACAGAGGAGTAAGTAAATATAAACACCTTCCAGGACAAAGTTGTTTATATTTATAGAGAAAAGCAAATTTCAACTTGTTGGACTCCCAAGTCTGTCTTTCCGTTATGCATCCTGAAACCAAAATACATTGTAACTTCTCTCCAGTGAAAAACATGAGCAGTTGGAAACAACACTTCTTCTATTGTGTCACTGTGGACACAAAATGCTTCTGTCTCATCTCAAGATAGTAGTTTATCCACACCTGTGTTTTCCTGATTTCTTGCCGAAACAGTATTGTGTATTTCCAAGGATCCATAACAGAAAGGTCTCAGGTGTTTTAAAAGTGGAAGCCTCATGATGGTCCAGTGGAGCTGACATGTTCTAGGGTCTTGTGAGGAAGAATACAATGAAATACAAGGTAAATCCAATCCATCCAGGCTACTATAACGAAAATCGATAGTCTGGTAGCTTATAAACCACAGAAATCTATTTCTCACAGATCTGGAGACCAGAAGTCCAACATCAAGATGCCAGCATGGTTACATCCTCAAGGACCCTCTTCTTGGGTTGTAACTGGTGTCCTCCAGCTGGGCCCCCACAAGGGGAAGGAACAAAGGGATCTCTCTGCAGCCTCTTTTATAAGACTTTATTATCTTTTACAATCTCACTCAGGAGGATTCCACCCTGACATCTTAAGCACCTCCCAAAGGCTCTGCCTGTGCATATAATCATTTTATTGGGTCAGATATTCAACCTAAGAACTTGTGCAGAAACATAAATATTCAGAACATAACAATGTCTCTCACTGAAGCTAGGAGAAAAACAGTTTTCAAGTGATGAACACAAGTGGACGCTTACCTTCCCAGGGGAGCCAGGAATTTCTGAACCTTTACAAGGAGTCGTTTCTTTTTCTTTTTCTTTTTTTTTTTTTTTAAGATTTTATTTATTTGACAGAGAGAGTTCACAAGTAGGCAGAGAGGCAAGGAGAGAGAGAGAGAGGAGGAAGCAGGCTCCCTGCCGAGCAGAGAGCCCGATGTGGGACTCTATCCCAGGACCCTGAGATCATGACCTGAGCTGAAGGCAGAGGCTTAACCCACTGAGCCACCCAGGTGCCCCTACAAGGAGTCGTTTCTTACACTGTCACTGTCTCTGGTGGGTTTGGGGAATTGCAGCTGAAGCAGTACAATCTGAAAGTACACTGGAGTGTGTGGCACATGGAGAGACATTTTCTTGTTGGGGAAGATGAAGCACACTGGTTTGATTCCAGGGGAACTTGAATTCCCCACATATCTACCTTGCTGCTTATCACTTTTCTCCTTTTCCATATTCTCAGAGGACATAAAATTGCTGTAATGAGGCTAATTAATGAAGTAGAAACTGAGGATACTTAAGCATCTAGGAAGTTTCTGGGGTACAGTTGGGAGCCTTTTACACAGTTTAGCATTCTAGTTAAAGGGAAAATAAAACGTTTCTCATAAATGTGCTGAGCATGTATCATTTCTTAGTATCTGGCTTGTGGGCTTTTTTGGAAGCCTAATATCCGATATTAGTATGCTCAGAAGAAAATAATTGAATTTGGACATAATTAGGAAAGTTCACAGCTCAGGAAGGATTGGTGAGGAGATGGTGACAAAGGAAGCTGACTTGAATCAGTAATGCTCTCAGGAAGCAAGAGCAGAAGAGGAAGCCTTATCTGGACAGTTACTGTTAAGAAGTGGTTGGAGTGAACACGTCTGCCTTTCTTCCAGGTGAATATCCCCAAGTTGTCCAGCATGATGGTCTTCATTTTCTATGGTAAGTGAATCATTCTTCTAGTTTACCTGGATGTATATCACCAATTCTTCATGAACTGAAATCTATCTTATCTGACTTCTCTGTTGATTAAACTAATGGGCTTATAGTAAGAAGTATCAATTACAAATGTATACTTTAAGGTGGTTTATAACTGTTTCAAAAATGCGCACTTATTATTGTAGAAAACACATTCCTGTATTGCAGGAATCACATTAATCTCTTAGGTTGTTTCTATCTTATTGTGTAAGATAATCCAGTTACTTGGAGTTATTTATTAGGATTTATGGAATTCTCATATATACTAGAGCCTTTGAGAAATGAAACCTTCCAGTATTTATTATAAGTTATAAGATGATAAATTTCAAATTATCTATTTTTATTTGAAACTAAATTAAAATGAGATTAATTTATCATTTAGTTCCCCTAATTTTAAAGCATTAATATTTACAAAGTAGGAGTCCTTTTGTAGGATAAAACAACATCCCATTGGATGCTTCACATTTCAGTCAATTTTTGTGAGCTAGAGATAAGGTTTGGATTTATCCCTCTTGTGTTGGATAGTGTGAATGTATTGTAAGATGTTGATAGAAAATAATTCATTTATACTCAAAGTAGAATCCACAAAGATCTACTTACTACATGTGTTATTGGAGAAACTACTATATTTTCTTCAGAATTTAGTAGAATCTATAAAATGAATTCAGGAAAAGAGATAGTTATGATTATAGCTGAATATTAATATTCTATTCATTAAAACAAAGCCAGTATAGTTTTTGCTTACTCTACACTAATAGATATTGATGAATAAAAACGTAATTGTGGGCATGAAAATGAAGAAGGTTATTTCAAATTATGTTGAACATAAAAAGAGAGTCAAAATAAGTGAAAAAAATTAAGGGAAGAAGGAATGGAATCTTTTATATATCTTCAGTTTTTTTTTCTTTAGTTTAAATAATATTCATTAGCCCGAAATTTTGCTTCTTGTATTTATTTTAATATTTCCTTATTTCTATTCTTAGGTATAAAGACAAATCTCAGAAACTTTAACTTTTGTAGATAAGGCAACAATAAAACAGAACACACAAAATACATTACAACCTCATTATGGCCCCAGTTGAAAAAGCAAGGATGGCCACTTGTTTTCAAGTTTCACTTCTAAATTAACCTTGGCATTAGGTTGCATGAAGGAAGGAAATGACTTCTAATATTGTTAGGGTCAAAATTGTACCATTTGGTAGGTTTAACCAGTATTCCTCATACTTGTTTAACATCGTCTAAGTAGGTCTTGTGATGTGGGAAAGTTTTATAGCCAAAGAAATGTGGGACGTAGTGAATTTTTAAAATAGAACATGTATTATCATGATAAGCCTTAAGAGGGTGATATTATGTACAGTATTCTTCATCTTACTATTTCAAAACAGAACTTGTTTTTCACTGAGCATTTCAAGAGAATCCTTGAAAATTCCTGGATTAAATATGTGACTACAAATCATAGTAAGGAATGACTACAATTTTGGAAAGCTAAAGTTATTTTCATTCTTTTGGGCCAGATCACTGAGATGGTTTTCCTAGTAGATTCAGTATTTCATCCAAATAGAAGGTGTGGAAAATCATGTAAAATAAACAATCAAGTGGAACTTAAATTTTTAAATATGGAAGAAAATGAAATAAATTTGGGAAAGATAATACGTAGAAAACATTAACCATCACTAGACTGAGGTACTGGTAATGTTTTGATGGTATATTCAGAACACTATCACCTATAAGTTTTCTGAGGGAACTATTCACAAAATGTAATGATCAATGTCAAATAAAATTCTTGTTTCTTATGATTTGTTTTTGACACAACATACCAGAGGGTCTTTCATAGCTGAATTCAAATAAATGACTTTGGGCCAAAATCAAAGGGGCTCTTTCTTCAGGCTTGCTAACCTAGGACAGGATTTTGGTTAGGTGAAGTTATCCATGAACACATGAAAAAACAGAAGGCTGATATGTCAATTTCCACTGTGGCCCTCAACAAGGAAAAGTTGTGACTGAACCATACCCTTGGGCCTAATCTCCAAATGCAGTGACCCAGCAAATAGTATGATCCTATGAGTTGTCTTGGATTCTCCTTAAGAGAAGAGGTTTGGAAGAGATAAGATAAAGACAAGATTATAGGTTTTACTTGAAGCTTATAAAACTCTGCATTATCACAGGTGATTCATAATTAACATCATCTTTTTAAAAATCCAAATAATTTGTCTCTGAAACATATTAAGGTATCTTGATTATAGTTAATATATTATCTCTATAACTCAATTGCAGTTCCCATATTTTTCTATGGATTGATTAAGCAAGTGTCAGTTTGTATGCTTGCAGAATCAATTCAGGTAATTTGAACAATATACTAAATTAGCATTGCTACTTTCTGGAAAACTGACTGGAAACTTCTCTTCTACCCAAAATAACTTGTAAACATCTGGAGGTATTATTTTTATTATAGTGTCAATTACTTATTTATAACTCATTCTTAACTTTTAAAGTTGGTTTAAGTCAAATACATAGATAATGTGTTGTGTTTGATGATTAGGATACGATTATGAATTATGTCTAATACCTATCTAATAAAACCCTAGAACCCAATGGTGGACAAGCATGTAAATACATATTTTCATTACAGAGCAGTAGAGCTATGGTTGGGGAAATCCTGAGATGATAGCGAAACAAATGAGGTGTGTTAAATCAATTTGGATATAGGAACAGAGAGTATTGAAGTCAGGGAAGTGTTCCATAAAACAGGTAATCATTGTGTTGAGTGTTAACAGAACAAAAAAAAAAACAAAAAAAAAAAAAACAAAAAAAAACTATTCCAGAAGAAAAAGAAATGGAGTGCCTACTAATAACCATGGACTAAATACTCAGAGGTACAAGACAACATGGAGCATTTGGGAAACTATAAATGTCCAAGGACTCCCCACAGTGCATGTGATAAGGAATATGAGAATTATGCTATGAGGAACCATCCAAAGGGTGAAGCAGAGAAATGGCAGGACTAGAATGGTACAGTAGGCAGGTTAGGGGGGTATAAAGAACCTATGTGAGTGAAATGAAACTGGAGGCACATTAAATAATTTGTGAGTTGGTCAGATATTCAAAATGAGAATCAGGAAACTATGCAAAAATGAATATAGGAGAGTGAAGTTGGGGATAAAAATGGACTCTGTCATGAATCCAAGGTTTCTAGTGCAGGTACTTACAAAAATGCTGAAATTGTTGGAGCAGGGTGGTCTACCAGGGAGTGGTGATGATAGAAAGATAGTGTACTCTGGAAATGTGTCTGGAACGTTTAGGTGGAGATATCAACAAATATAACTGGAAGATGGAAAAATAATGGGATTGGGTGATGCTTTTTAGAATCATCAATCTAGAGGTTTTAGTTAAAATTATGATGGTATGTGAAATTGGCCATAGAGAATGTATGAAATGAGAATGGGAAAAATCTGAGGACAGACATTAAGCTAAAAATATAGTTTAGCAGAAAAAGACAAGGACCCTGGGAAGAATTCTAACTATGGTCAGAAAATACCAAATGAATAAGTATTCATTGACAAAGTTGACAAAGGAAGAGAGGGTTTGGAAAAGGGGTTGACAAAGGAAGAGAGAGTTTCAAGATGGAAATGGCAAAGGCCACAAAATGCTCAATGATAAAAGTAGGCAAGACGAAGTCTTGAAACTATTAAGCTTGACATTTTGGAGATGACTAGAGAAGTTTAAGGATATGTTTCAATAGAGCAAGTCATAAATATATAAATTGAGGAATGAAGAGGCGTCAAATAAGAGCACAAGTGTAAACTCTTCATTGAAGAATCTTCTAGAGGAGAAACACAAATCTATAGCTAGAACTAAAGCTAAGAGCCATTCCACCCTTGTAGTGATTGTATTAGATTGTATTTTTATTAACTCTGCTCTTTATCATCAATAACTTAGTTTCGAGGTAAACAAGTGCCATGCTGCAATATTGCCAAGGTGCTGCTGCTGCTGTTGTTGTTGTTGTTGTTCTGTTACTGTTGTTATTTCAGCTATGGCGCTGTGCTTGGAACATGAATCCACTCCCCAAATGACTGATTGCAGGTATTTAAGAGAGCAATGCCTAAGTGATGCAAATGGGTGTAAATATGCATGGAGAATAATGGAAGATTCCTGCAATGTTTCAGGTAAAATATTATTGAAAACATACTCAAATGATTTCCTTTTACTGAGATAAAAATAGGTTTGGATATTTTCTGTCCTTATTCTGGGAACTAAGCTAGCTTTGTTCTATAAACACCTTAACTCAAACTCGATATTCCAATGATTACCTTCACTTGCTTATTAATGAATGTGGTTACAAAAAGTCAAGAATCCTACTGTACTGTAGGTAGCTTTATGGAAGACTTCAGTTTTTTGTTTTTTTGTTGTTGTTTTTTTTACTTACGTCACCACATGCAATGTTATATGCATGCTTATCAGAAGTATGACAAAATTTTTTCAAATATCTTTTTGCTTACAAGTTAATATCTCAATGATAAAATAGGAAAAATAACATTTGTGATGATCAAAAGCACTGTTACTTGTTTGTACGTGTGTAATACCTGTTATACATGTTGTAATTCACATTTTATTTTCTTGCAGCAGATATGCTGTCTTCCTTTCCAACTGTGTCAAGAACAATTTAAAATATTTTTTTATTTTTAACTTGTCCTACATTCCACATATTTGAGGAGAGTCCCAAAGTGTTGAGAATATGAAGATTGGAGTTATTGTTACTTGTTTAAAAGAAAAAAAAAATGCCAAACTGAATATATCAATTAGTTGGATAAATATTGAATGGAGCATCATAGTAGGATTCCATTTGCTAAAAAATAAAATAAAAATAAAATATAATAAATAATAAAAAATAAAAATCATCAGTTTATGATATAGTGAGATATTCCTCTAATACTATTATCCACAAAACATTACGAAAAAATTGTATTCTAATAATTTATGATCTCGTATAATGGATTTTATAATACTGTAAAAAAGTAATAAACTTTCTGGAATATTCCGTGAGAAAAATAGAAAAGGGAAACAACAATAGTTTCTGCCATATCTCACTTTCTCTATTAATTTCATGACGATTGAATTTTGTACTGCTCATGACTCTTGCCTATCTGCAATGTGCTTCCTCTACTTCCCAAAAGATGTAGAAGGGAGTGTGTTGGGTTAAAAGGCAGTAACGTATAGTTCTGATGGCCAGCATTTACAATCTCCATCATCAGAACCTCTGTCTATCCACAGGACTTCAAGGAATTACATGGGATACAGAGAAAGGGAAAAAGATTTCCTTCTCTTTCCTGACCTTGAAAGGAGTAGATGGAATGTTTGAACTCCAAAGACAGTTATAGCTGTCTAACCCAACATTCTTATTACAGTTCAGGAAAAGAATTTTAAAGGTCTAATTTGCTCAAGTAACACAGTAACTTTAAGATGAGACTAGAAGACAATGACAAAAAAATTCTTATTGGTTTTGATGATGAAGCTCCTTGTTATATTTTATAAGGCAATTTAAAATACTGCTTCAATGTGTCATGAATTATAACATTTACTTCAGTGTACAAATAGCAAGTCATTTTCAGTGAATTGCAGTAATATTTGCATAATTATACTATGCATGGAGCTGAAATAGAAATATTTTCAAATACACAGATGAAATGAATTCAAGTAGTTTTATTCAGAAAAATGAGTAAAGAAAATTTTTGGGTAGATAAATATGGCTTTGTAAATTAAAGCAGAAAATGAAATACTGGTAATTATGAAAGATTCATTATTCAATAATATTTACTGAGTGCTTACTAAGTGTCAGGACCACTTCGTTTCTCATGGTAAATTCTGAGCCACGTGCATGTCTCTTATTATAATCTTAGAAAGACATATAAAATAAAATAGAATATTATGACAAATGGCTAATAAAATAGCTAAGCTGACAAAGTGGTGAAGATTATAGATCATTCTGATCACCTCATATAAGGACAGCCTTGATCACTATTGAAGAGTAAAAATTGGCATTCTAAGTGGGGATAAAGTCATTTTAAAATACAGCAAGCTTTAATCTATTTTAGAAAGTAAATGCTGGGGAGAAAGTCAGTAAAAAGAGATTTTGTGCTTAAAAAGTCACTTCTGTGGACATCTTGCAACAACCCCAGAAAATCTTATGATAATAATGAATTACTCAGATTAATACATTAAAAGCATTTGGGGTAGGACAATATTCAGATTAATATCAGCAATATTATATGTTTGACTAAAACCCAGGTAACCTCTGCAAGATGAAGGACTCATCAAACTGTAACCTGAGCATCCAGTCCTTGGTGGAAAGCAATTTCCAATTTGAAGATTGTCTCTGCACTGATAACCTCTATTGTACTATTAACAAATTGCTTGGGGAACCATGCATCAATGAATCAGGTAACAATAAATTGTTATACAGAATATTTACAGTCATGAAAAAGAAAAGTACAGTTTCAAAATTAACCACATCTATGTAATTTGATTAATTCTCCTTTCTTGATAATTTGATCAATTCTCTGTGTAATTTAAGGTTCAGTGAGCTGTGGATCTCAGCAAGTGCCTAACATATTTCTGAAGTTGCTAACCATAATTGCAAGCTTCATTCAATTATAATTCATTAGGAGTATAGATTCACTTGCTCAATTCATGTATTTGTGGGGTTTGCTATGGCTTTGCACAAGATCTAAATGATAGAAGACAAATAAGATATTAGAGAAAGTCCAAAATATAACCATGTATCTAGAATTATACTTGCCTTTCGGTAGGGTCATTTAATCATTTAATATGCATTTATTTACTGCCTGTTCAAAGAGCCAGGCTGACACTGAGGTAGTGGTCATCAAAGAACTCTGCATGTGTCCTTAAGGGTTCATAAAGATTTTCAAAGGGATATGTGGGATAAAACAGTTCTAAAGTGATCAATGTTTGGATCCTCAGTGTCCCTCTGCACTCTCTGAAAAGTAGTCATCTTGGGGGGCGCCTGGGTGGTTCAGTTGGTTGGGCATCTGCCTTTGGCTCGGGTCACGATCCCGGGGTCCTGGGATCAAGCCCCACATCGGGCTCCCTGCCCAGCAGGGAGCCTGCTTCTCTCTCTCCCACTCCCTCTGCTTGTGTTCCCTCTCTCCCAGTGTAAAAAAAAAAAAAAAAAAAAAAAGAGTGGTCAGCTTGGGAATGCACATGCTGTCATGGGGTCCTTGCCTCTTCTTTCACAGTCAAATTCTCATTTTATAAGAAATACACCATTTCTTCTAATATCCCATTTACCTCTCATCTATCATGCATGGCCTCATTGTTCCACCTCTCAAATCATTCATGGTGAGCTCACTGGACAATTTTCTGTTCCATGGTTTTGCTTTCTCCAGAATTTCACATAAATGGAATTATATAACATGTAGCCTTTAAGCCTTATTTTTTTAACATAATGCATTTGAGGTTCACCAATGTTTCATGTACAAGTTTGTTTTCTTTTATGAGTACTAGTCCATTGTATACCACACATTGGTTATCCATTCGTCATTGAAAGTGATTTGCATTGTTTCCAGATTTTTAGAAATTATAAATATTCACATACAAGATTTTTACAAATAGAGTTTTTATTTCTCTTGGGTAAGAAATTGTAAGAAAGTGTATGTTTCACTTTATGGAGAGCTTCCATACTATATTCCAAATTTGACATAAGCATCAATGTATAAAAGTTTCAGTCATTCCACATTCTCAGTGGCACTTGATTTTGTTTTTTACTTGTTTTTGTTTGGGGGCCATTCTAATATGTATTTAATAGTCTCACATTGTAGGTTTGATTTCCACTTAAATAATAGTAATGTTGAACATATTTTCATGTGCTTACATGTCATCTCTACACATTATTTAGTAAAGCATCTCTTCAAAATTTTGCTCATTTTAAATTTGAGTTTTGGCTTTTTTACTGGGTTTTAAGAGTTGCTTCTCTGTATCGAATAGGATTTATCAGAACATGTGTTCTGGAAACAATATTTTCCCCTCTATGTCATTTTATTTATTTCCTTAGGAATATCTTCCCCAAAAAAAGAAGTCTGTTGCTTTTTAAACTTTAATGATAACCAGGTTTTTTTCTTTTTTTTTCTTCTCTTTTTTTTTCACGTGCAAGATGCCAACTTTTTTTTCTTGAATAATACCTGTGATGTTGCATCTAAGAAATCTTTATCCAACCCCAAATCACAGAAATATTTCTCATATGGTCTAGAAATTAATGTAGTTTAGGTCTTGAGTTAATTTTTGATTTTGGTACAAACAATGGGTTAGATTCCTTTTTTTTTTTCCCCCTATAAGGATAGACAACTGTTCTACCCCACTTGCTAAAGAGACTATGAGTTTCACCTTCAAAACTCATTTGGGCAGTATATTAGTGGCTCTATTTCTAGAGTTCTTATCCTGTTTCAATAATCTGTATTTCTGTACTTTTGCCAATACTCTACAGTCTTATTTATTTAACTTTATGGGGTGTCTTATAATCAAGTAGTATAATTCCTTTAACTTTGTTCTTTTAAAAAATTGTTTTGGCTATTTTTTGACTTCCCATATAAATGTTACAATCAGATTGTCAGTTCTATAAAAAAATTAGCATTTTGGTGTGCTTACATTGAAACTAAATATCAGTTTGGGTAGAACTGACACATGATATGTCTGCCCATTCATTTAAGATCTCTTTGATTTCTTTTATCATATTTTGTAGTTTTCAGTGTATAATTCTTATATTGTGTTGATATATGCAAATATGCTTCATTTTTTGATGCTGTTGTAAATAGTAACTTATTTTATATTTAAATTTCCAATTGAGTATAGAGAACCTATCAAAATAAAATTGATATATTATCCGGACCTTATATCCTATAACTTGCTCAGCTCACTGATTAGTTCTTATGTATCTTTTATTTGGTAAAATCTATAGGACTGTCCATATAGATCTAAATATTCATATCTGTGAGTAGACAGAATTTTATTTCTTCCTTCCCAATCTGTAGGCCTTTATTTCTTTTCTTTGCTCTATGGTTCTGGGTGGAACCTCCTAGATGTTGTTAAATAGGATCCTTGGGAGTGGCCATCCTTGCTTTTTATCTGTCTTCAGAGAAATGCGTTAGGTTTGCACCATAAAGAATGGTTTTTGCAGTAGGTCCTTTGCAGGTTCCCTTTATCAGGCTGAAGAATTCCTTCTTATATCCCCGTTTGCTTTGAGATTTTATCATGAATGGATAAACAAATATTAAGTTTTGCAAATACTTTTCCTGCCTCTATCGAAATGATCATGTTTTACTTTTCTTTTATGTGGTGAATTTTATTATTGATTTGTGAACGTTTGTTCTCACCCTTTATTCTGAGGCTATATACTAATCAGTGATGATGTATTATTCATTTTATATATTATTTGATTCAATCTGCTAATATTTTATTAAGGGTTTTTAATCTATGCTCATGAGGGATATTGGAATATTGTTCTCTTGTAGTGTATTTCTCTGATTTTATTGTCTGAATAATGCTGGTTTCTTAATGCGTTGGGAAGTTTTTCTTCCTATTCTTTATTCTAGAACAGGATACAAAGAATTAGTATTATTTCTTCCTTAAATGTTTGATTTAATTCACCAGTGCAGATAGCTGGGCTATTCTTCATTGGATGGTTTTAAAATGTTCAATGTGTTTAGTTGTTATAGGACTGTTTCACTTACCTATTCCTTACTGAGTTGAGTTTGGTAGTTTGTGAATGTTCAGTGAATGTTCCCATTTGTTGGATTTATGTTGAATTTTTGTTTTTAGAGTTTCCATTTTATTTATTTATTTTTTACCTTTTCCTATCTCTCTGCTAAGTTCTTCTTATTATCCCCAAATTGTCCTTTAAGTGTCTATAGGCGTTACAGTGGTATCTTCTCTTTCCTTCAGACACTGGTGAACTTGTGTATTCCTCTCTCTTTGTCTCTCTCTGTCTCGCAGTTTTGCTCATTATTTTTGGTTATTGTGTTTGATTTGACTTGCAGTTGCTCCTCATTGTCTGGTTTCTTAAGATAAAGGCTTATATCATTGACTTGAGATTTTTGTCATTCCTCCTATAATTATTTCATTATATAAATCTCCTTCCCAAGTACTGTTTTAGTCACATCCACAAATCTTAGTATGTTGTATTTTCATTTTTATTCAGTTCAAAATGTTTTCTCATTTCCCTTGTGACTTCTTTGATTCATGGTTTATTTATAATACTATTGTTTAATTTCCAAATGTTTGAGGATTTCCAAGATACCTTTGTTACTTTTAGTTCAATTATTAATTAAAATGGTAAATGATGAATATCACCTGTTCAATGTGATACATGCTAGATCACACACACACACACACACACACACACACACACACATACACTCTCTCTCTCTCTCTCCCCCCACCCCTTTCATAAAGTACTTGAAGTTATAGAGGAATAAAGATTGGTGACTCAGAAGGTTTCATAGAAGAAATGACAGACTTGGGATTTTAGGGTGAATTTGGCTCATTAGACAACATGGATGTTCTATACAGAGGAAATAGAATGAAGCAGAGCACATTTGAAGAGAAACAAATCCTTTGTGAAGCTGATCTATAGAACAGAGCAGTATTAGGAAATGATGCTGGAAAGAAACCAGATGTTCTAAGAAGGAGGAAAGCTGAACTTAGAGATCTTTCTAAAGGGATTAGACTTCAAACTGTTATTGCAAGGAGCTCTTAATGCATTTTAAACAGAGGAATGCAGAATCAGCTTTTCAAAGGGTATCACTGGCAGGAGTGCAAAGGACAGAATGAAGGGAAGGGAAAGATGCAGGCCAGGGATGTCAATTAAAAGGCCATCAAAATCATTTGGGAGAGAGGTGTTGCATGCCTAAACTAACACATTGGTGCTGAGGACTATGAGGAGAAAGCCAAAGTAAGTTATGTTTATGAATTATAATTGATAGGTATTAGAGACAGTTGGATATGAGGAGTATGAAATGTATGAAGTATGTTCTACAAGTTGCTGGCTTGGGACAGGATACCGTGATACACTGAGATAGGGAAGAAGCAATAAAGTACAGGATTGGAGACAGAGGTGATGAGTAATATTTTGGAGACATTGCATCTGGAGAGTGCTTTGGAACATTCCTGTTAGGAATGTTAGCATTTTGTTTTAAGTTTTACATGATACAAATAATTTCAAAAAAGAAATGAAGGAATGTGTGTCATCTTGTTTGCATATGGAAACATGGATCTTGCACTGAAGAGAGTAATCTAAAATAGACACACACAAAAAAAGATAAAATTAAATAGACATACAGGTTTTGGAGTTATAGGTTTATAAGAAGCAGATAAAACCATAAGAAATAAGATAGGATTGGTCTATAAAGACTATAAAGTGACAATATAAAGATTTTGATAATGACATTCATGATCTAGTTGAAGAGAAAAAAGAAGATTTAAAAGACATGGAAAGAAACCACAGAAAGAGTTTTTGAAGTCAATGAAAGGGATAGAGAGAAAATAGTCAACAGTTACAAATGCTGAGATGGCATAAAAAATGATAGAGCCCAAAATGAGATTAGTTAGCTAATTAATAGGTCTTTACTAGTTTTTGATTGAAGTAGGCTGAAATGAAAACATATTGAAATACTAAAATATTTATTGACTTTTGTTTCACAATGACAAGACAACTTAATTTTTATCTCTCTAGCCACTTTTAATCACACCAGTTTTTAAAAAAATATAGTTACCAGTCAATAGGTACATACAAAGTTAAATCAGTTAAACTGAAATCAGTTCCCCCCCGTTCCCCCTACACACACAATAGACACTTAGTAAAGACAACTATGTGGCAATATTGATAAGCCAGGAATATAAAATCATTGTAGAAGAGAACACTGACATAGCCTCACAAATGCACTTCATGATGGACAAGACCTAGTTGTTATGGATACAGGAAGCATTAGCTGTTTGCTTTTCATTGAGCTTAGAGTGAGAAAGGAAATGATTAAAATCTTCTCATTCATCCTATCTTAACTATGGTACCCTCATAGACTCTGATCATCAGTCCAGCAAGCCATGATTGATCTCTCTTTCTCTCTCCCTTTCCCTGTCTCTCCCCACTCCCCCCTGTTCCCCTTCCCACTCTTCTTCCCTCTCTCCCCACTTTAGACTCTCAAAACATTCCCCAACATATATAGGCATGTATTTTTCTATTCTTCATTGACATCTTGTAAACTTCTTGAGCAAATCAGCTTTAGCATTTCTTTCTTTTTTTCTTAATATGATAAAGTACCCAGTGTAGTACCTGATATCTGATACTTAGTAAATGACCAATGAATATCGTGTAAGTACTTTAAATTTGTTAAACATATTTTTGAGACCCTAAATCATGTGTCTGCCTGTATTTATTATTTAGTTAATATGTGTAGACATTTTATAAATGCTGAAGGATAGATATAAAGCTGAATAAAACATGGGACACCTAGGTGGCTCAGTTGGTTAAGCTTCTGACTCTTAATTTCAGCTCAAGCCATGCTTTCAGAGCTGTGAGATGAGCCCTGCACATTGGGCTGTGCATTCACCAGAGAGCCTGCTTGAAATTCTCTCCTTCCCCCTCTGCCCCTCCCCACCTGCTACCTCTCACTTTCTCTGTCTCAAATAAATAAAATCTTTAAAAAAAAAAAAAAAGAGATGACTAAAATAGTCCCTGCTCTTGATAGCTGAAAACATAGTAGAGTAAAATTGACATTTAGCCATATTATTTCATTTAGCCCAGCTAATTAAATATATAAATAGAAAGATATTTAGATAGACAGTTTGATCAAACATATAGACAGGTTTATAGATTATTTCAAAATATATAATTACCAATATAATAGAACTAATTATATGAGGACAGCATTAAATCAGATGTATCTTATGGATGCAAGCATGCTAGCCAAAAGGAATAGAAGAGACAGCCTTTATTCTAGTAAAGGAGCCTGATTTATATAATTATAACAATCCGTCTTGAGCTTTTATTTGAGAAATGTGCAAAATGCTATAGTATTGTATGTTTTAAAACATATGCAGCATTACAGAGGCTAGACTTAGACTAGTGCTTGTAAGGATGCCCTAGCAGTTATTAAATAAACATTTTCATATCATGAAATTGATTATGTTATCCTTGTCTTGTATAAGGGTGTCTTGTAGAAACTAAGGTAAAAGAAAACTAATTTAATAAAACAAAGTTAAACTTTTTTTTTAAAAGATTTTATTTATTTATTTAACAGAGAGAGAGAGAGAGAGATTGCAAGTAGGCAGAGAGGCAAGCAGAGAGAGAGAGAGGGAAGCAGGCTCCCTGCCAAGCAGAGAGCCCGATGCAGGGCTCGATCCCACGACTCTGAGATCACGACCCGAGCTGAAGGCAGAGGCTTAGCCCACTGAGCCACCCAGGCGCCCCATCTTTTTTTTTTTTTTTTTTTCGAAAAAAAACAAAAAAAAAAAAAAAAAAAAAAAAAAGACTTTTGGAAGAATGATAGGGTCAAGGAATTTTTTATTGTGGATATCTTTTTTGAAGTACCTCAGAAGATAAGACATTTTAGACGTAGAGAGTATACATCATAAAGCCTATGCTAAGCTGACTTGGAGTCTCATGTTGAAGTTGTTTTTCTCATCTTTTTTTCTATAAAGTTCATAGAATTATGGGTTTGTTGGAACTATCTAGTAGAACATGTGTTTTCAATGAGGAATAAAACCTCCAAGGGATGAAAATTGGTACATGGGGTTGGGCAAAAAATCTTTTACTCTTTATTATATTTAAAGCAGAGATACGCATCCAGTTCCCAAACAGTATATCTGTGGAACTAAAATTTTACAAGGAGGTTGGTGACTTAGAAAAATAAAGGTCTAAAAATGCTTGTTAAGGGGAAAATGATAATTTTTTAAAAAGGTGGAGAAACAGTTTGAGCACATTTCTAGTAGAAAAGAGAAATCCATAAAAATTTATACAAGGGAAATAATCTATTATTTTATAAGTATCTTAAGTTACACACGATTTCTACCAGTCATCATCAAAATGTAATGAAACTTTGGACAAAAATAAATGATAAGAACCAAATGTCATCCAAAGCAATTGAACATTACCATTATGTGGTTATATAAACTATCAATAATCAGTGTTTTTCTTTTAATTTTTAGAAATTCAGGATCATTTGTTGTAGCCCTCTTGAAATATTTTTAATGGTTTTTGAAAGACAATAGATAAGCTTAGGGGCACATGGGTGGCTCAGTCAGTTGAGTGCCAGACTCTTGATTTCAGCTCAAGTCATGACTTCAGGGTCCTAGAATTGAGCCTCAGGTAGGACTCTATGCTTAGCAGGGAGTCTGCTTGAGAATTCTCTCTCTCCCTTTCCCTCTGCCCCTCCCTTCACTCACTCTGTCTCCATCTCTGTCTCTAAAATAAATAATCTTCCTTAAAAAATAAGTTTATATACTTTATGTAAAACATTAAAATATCACAAGTAAATGAACTTATTTAATTTTTTGTCAATTTTTAAAATTTTAGTTAAAGAAGAATCAGCTCTGTCTTTACATTTGGCTGGACAGTCAAATACCACACAATGGCTGCATCAGAAAGACACAACAGTAATGGTTGGAAAAGATAGTGACTGTGTCATAGCAGCACATATTTGCCAAGAATCAGAACATTGTACTCTGTTGTATGAAAATTTTAAGAAAACCTGCGGGAGGGAATCAGAACAATGCAAGACCCTCGATGGAGGCTACCTGTGTGCCACATTAAGAGAAAGCCTGAAAAAAACAATATTGTGGAATTGTCATTGCAACGACCCTTCAAAAGCAGAGTGCACTGAAATTTGGAAAAGTTTGTTTGAAGACATTTGTATACAGGATGCTCAGATGAATCAAGTTTCAGCTTTCAGTGACAACTATGAAGATGGATTCAAACAAGACTTTTTTTCAGGTTGGTATTCTAAAGAACTTAGGAACATATATTAATTAAAGAATGTTTAACTTCTGATTCCTGCTTTGTCATTTCTGCCTGTTTCTCTTAGAAAATTAAAAATAAAAAATGAATGCCATGATTTTGTCCAAAATGGATTATTAAGAGGCAAGCGAGGCAAATGCTAGAAGGTTTTAGCATAATGTTAATTGTATTCATTCATTCATTCATTTGAAAAATACTTATGAGACATTTAAATGTGCTAGGTATTATACAGCATGATTAAAAAAAACACACACACAATAACAAAACAAACACCTGGCCTTCATTCAAGAAGCTTGTTGTTTGTTAGGAGATTTCAAAAATTAAAGAAATAGATAAAATGTGGTTACATGCTCTTATTTATTTATTTAATAGATCTTTCTTTTGAGTCCCTACCATGTCTCAGCCCATGTGCTCAGACCTGGAGGAAAAGCAAACAAAGCAAACAACTTGTTGCTCTCTAGGAGTTTACACTCTACATTGAGGAGCATCTTGAATCATTTTTCCGGGCAATAGACTCTGAGACAAAAGTTTGCACACAAAAGATGTGTTTGAGCTGAGGGTTTAGGAACAGAAACTAAAAGGAACTGAAGAAAAGAGGATTAGGTGGAGGGAGAAGCTGAAATACAGAGCAGCTGCCTCAACCAATATAGTTTATTCCACAGGAAGTTTGGGCATGGAATGACCGTTAATGAAAGGGACCTGATCCTTACACCACTCCTCTGGGCTAGTCCTAATGGATGAGCTGTCCCCTGGTAAAGTCTGTCACCTTGTCTGTGGCAACTTTCTTCAAATGATGGCAATGCCTAGAAAGGAACTGGTGTGTGTCATCACCCAACCAAACTTTGTGCAGTCGAGCAAATGAAAGCCTGGGGTGTGTCTTAGTACTGGGCCACAGAATCCAGTATGGGGACAAAGAGAAAATTAGAAGGATTAATGACATAAGATGGATTTTTTTTTTAAAGATTTTATTTATTTATTTGAGAGAGAGAGCATGAGAAAGGGTGAGAGGAAGAAGCAGACTCCCTGCTGAGCAGAAAGCCTGATGTGGGTCTCCATCCCAGGACTCCAGGATCATGACCTGAGCTGAAGGCAATCGCTTAACCAGCTGAGCCACCCAGGCACCCATAAGACGGATATTTTAAACAACATGAATGCTAAGGAGAAAACTGAAGCAGAGGGGGAAAAAGAGGTCCGAGTGAGTGATTTGTAATTTTAAGAGGATAGCCAGGCAGTTGCACTCTTAAATTGATGTTTGAGCAAAGACTAAAAGAGGTAAGGGAATGAACCTTGTGGATATTTGGGAAAAAAGCAGTTAAGGCAGGAGAAATGGGGAGTTAAAGGTCTTCAACTGGACATGTGTCTGGAGGTTTGAGGAAGAGCTAAGGGGAGACACATAGGTAGAAGAAAGAATATGGGAGAGGGGTGTGGGAGGTGAGATCAGAAATAAAACAAGGACAAGACCAGGTAGGACTTTCTAGGTCATTGGCTCTTTCCCTCAGGGATACAGAAAATTACTGAAGAATTTTCATTAAGAGATTGTCATGATCTGGTTCCTATTTTTAAAAGGATAATCCTGATTTTTTTTTTTTTAATTGATCATTGACTGGAAGACAAGCAAAGGCTCAAGTAGGAAGACCAGTTAGGAAGCGTTTATAATGACAGAGAAAAATTGATAGATGATGGACCACTGTGAGAAGTTGTCAGTTCTGGATATACTTTGCTAGTAGCAAACCATGTGAGGATGGAAGGAGAAAAAAAAAAAAAAGGAAATGGAGGCTGAGTCCAAGGTTTTTGTCCTGAGTTACTAGAAGGATACGGCTGCCATTATTTTCATTAACTACTACAAGAACAACCACAGAAGGAAGAAGCTTCAGTAAGGGACAGAGAAGTCAGAGGTCAGTTTGGGACATGTTAAGTCAAAGGTGATATAAAATACCCAAGTAAATATATCAAATTTAGCAGCCCCACATATGGAATTGTTGTCTAAATTCTGTGTATGACACAACAAAATGGGATCTGTAGAATAGGTGTAAGTCTAAGGGGGGTGGTCATTCACTTATAGATGATAAATAAGCTTAGATGAGGTCAACAGAGAAATGCATGCTATCTTGGGCCAATGTGGTAGCAAAGTGAGAAAATAACAGATTCTGGACCCAGTTGGGGGTAAAAAAGAATTTTCTTGTGCTTGTACCTTCTTTTTATGGGCAGCAGATAGGCAGGCAAGGAGGCTGTGCAGGCAGCTCAAGGAAGGACAAATTGAATCATGAAGTCATAACAGAAGTCACTATCCTAATAGTCAATGGCAACAATTCAATTTTATTTTAAAATGCAAATCTGATCATACTATTCCCCTATCACTTTATGCACATGTCTATTCACACTCCTTATATTTTTTTTGGATTTTTTTTTTTTGTTAGATCTGTATATTCTGTGCCAGGCTGTGGATGCTCCAGGACAGGGACTACATATCTGTGTCTTAAGTCTGACACCAGGTACATAGTAGGGACTCAGCCAATGCTTCTTGAATGAAAGATTTGGAAGTAGCTGACCACAGACTTCCCTTCCATCAACACAATTCTCTAGTTCTGTGATTATAATTCCTAGAAATTCTAAGAGACTAAGAAAATCAGAGGTGCAAATCATCCTTAAATTGTATTTCAATTTAATTAAGACTCTACTAGGAAGAATTTTTTTTTTATTCAGACAATATTGCTTCTGTAATTTCTCCCCAGATTCTTTGTTTACTTCAGTACACATGGTCTGATTGTCAGCATTTGTTTAAATCTTCAAGTAACTAAATCCTCAGAGCAGAGCTGTTTAACTCACTTGATATTTGGGGGTGTGTGGGGGGTGTTTTTCTTTAACTAATTTTGTGTATCAAGGGTTAAATAAGTGTTACATGAGCTCAAATGGATTATTTCCTGATTATTAATTTAAAAATTAACCCACAGGGGCGCCTGGGTGGCTCAGTGGGTTAAAGCCTCTGCCTTCCGCTCGGGTCGTGATCCCAGGGTCCTGGGATCGAGCCCCGCATTAGGCTCCCTGCTCAGCGGTGAGCCTGCTTCCCCCATCTCTCTCTGCCTGCCTCTCTGCCTACTTGTGATCTCTGTCAAATAAATAAATAAAATCTTTAAAAAAAATAAAAAAATGTAACCCACATTCTTCTATTAAATTTAAAAATTATTCACTAATGAATTAGTCTCTTTATCTTCTTTCTAGGTAACATGGAAGAGGATAATCAATCCAAGTGGAATCTAACTACTCTTCCCTATCAGGGTAATATTTATACATTGTATTTTTTATCTACATTGTAAATACTAGGCAGTATAATTTAAAACACAGTTACTAGCTTTCTTAAAGATATGCCAATATAAAATGAATTCTGTGGTTTTTTACTAGTCTAATATTGCAACAAAATTACCGTATTTCTTCCATTCATGTATCTAAGCAACTGTTTCACCTATCCATTCTCTATTTACAATTATGCTGAGGAATACATTATAATTAAAACCAAAGACTAGATCTTGGTTAAATTTCACTGGTATTTTGATCACATAAGTTAATTGTTTGAGGCTGTTTTTGTGTATATATGTTTGTGGGGGGGTGTGGAGGCACTCACATGTAGTTGTGTTTTCCAGAATATGAACATCTTTATGTGCTAGAATAAGTACGTAACTCTGTGGAGCCTTTAGTCAAGATTTTCACCCAAAATAAAAGGTGCAACAGAACAAAAATCATTTTGATTTGAGCCCATGAACTCACATTAAGCTATAGACCTCAAATGCAATTTCTGAAGATTTATTGTTTGTGTTTGAGAAACTTGGACTCAAGATTTTTTTTTCCACTCAGTTTTAGCCCTACACACTCCCCATGGTTTCTAGATCACAATATGTACCCAGTATAAATGAAAGATGATTCAAATAGCCCACTGCTAATTTATACTAACTCTTGGGGGGGGGGGGGCGGAGAAAGTAACGTTGGCCCCAAGCAGCACATTGGTACATCATTGTGTTTTGCTCATAGACTTCTCAGTGTTTTGCAGATTCTGTATGTACAGATTTGTGTTTACTTTTCCATGACCTGGACATATCCTTGCTTTCAGGAATCAAAGGAATCCAGTCCTGTTTGGAAGTGGCAGAGGCGTGTGTAGGGGATATGGTCTGTAACACACAGTTGGTCCCTTACCTTAAAGCTTGCTCAGCAAATGGAAATCTGTGTGATGTGAAACACTGCCAAGCAGCCATACGGTTCTTCTATCAGAATATGCCTTTTAACATTGCCCAGATGTTGGCTTTTTGTGACTGTGCTCAATCTGATATCCCTTGTCAGCAGTCCAAAGAAGCTCTTCACAGCAAGCCATGTGCAGTGAACATAGTTCCACCACCTACTTGCCTCGATGTAATTCACAGCTGCCAAAATGATGAATTATGCAGGTGAGTAAAAACACGCATACCTTACTTTCTTATTTCGGCACCTTATTTGTTACAGTCCAGTCCTAACACTTGATCTCATTACATTAGCTGGAGTTCCCACCTTCATCCAACATGATGTAAACAAAGCCAGACGACTCATATTTTTCAATCTGGGGTACATGTGTAGTGTCCTTTTTGAAATTCAAATGCAGAACATGTTTTTGGAATAAGTGAATTCAGTGTGTCAGGATCTGGTAGCCATGAAATAGTATTATTAAAATTATACACCCAAGTGAGACTAATGAATTAGTAAATAGACCTGCCTGGCATGTCAGTTTAATTTGGTCTTGGGTATGATGACTCAAGGTCGTTAAATGCCATAGAGTTTTGACATGGCGCCTCTTCAAACCTCAGAATGAATCTTTCTCTCTTAGGCTGGAGATCCGGGAGGAGAAGGTAGCTTGACTTCAGTTTGGACATCCCCAGCACATATGTATGCTATGATGTCAGAAATGTACCCATTCTCCTCTTCCCAACCTCACACCCTTGATTTTCAGGGAAGTAATGTCAGTCATTTATTTGTTTATTTAAATAAATAATTATCAAGCACCTTCTACTATTCAGGCATCAGTGCACACAAGGGCAAAATGCTTGCCCTGGTGGGGGGGGTACTTATATTCTAGTAGGGGGAGAAGGATAATAAGTAAGTCAAAAGGTATATTCTAAGGTAATGAGTGTTGTAGAGATTAACAGGCAAAGGGAGAGGACAGAATGAGTGCCTCTGTGAATGGGCAGAAAGAGCTCAATGCGAACAGTAAGGTCCCAGTAGGGAGCATTTTACCAGATTTGAAGATGTGGGAAAATGAGCCTCTCTCAGTAAGCATCTGAAAAAAGAGATACCAAACAGATCAACCAGTGTTGAGGAAAAAATACAGCATATTCAAAAAGCAATGAAGGTTGAGCCTACATGGGGGGGGAGCAGTAGGAGATGCAGTTAGACATTAAACTGGAATGGCGGGGCAGGCAGGCTTAGATCACATAAGGCTTAGGGAGACACTAAGGACTTGGTTTTTGCTCCCAGGGAAAGGGAGGGGTTCTGGAGGATGTTGAGCAGAAGTATGAATGAGCTGGCTCACTTTTCAAAACTTCCACTCTTGCTGCTAGTTGAGACTAGACGGAACCTTTGCAGGTAATTACTCTTGGGAGCCATAAATCTAATTCAACACTGGCTTTTTCTTTCCCTCACTGCAGTCTTCATTAACACATTTCCTTGTATATTCAAGATGAATTTATCTTTTGTGTGGTAAGAAATTCACAGTGAAGTGGGCCTCTTTGGACGAGTAAGAAAATGCAGCAAAGAATGAGAGTACTGAATAAATCTGATGAATCAAAATGATTTGTAACATTGATGTTACCAGGTCAAGGAGCTTTATTTAAACAACCAACATTAAATTATATAATTTAATATATGGATTCATCTTTTGCTTCTCTTCAGAAAAAAATCTTCATATCAGTTTTCCCAGTGTCTTGAATCCGGGACTATTTAATTTCATTTAAATAAATAAAACCCCATAAATAGCAAAATCACTTAAAGATCAAAATAAACATTTAATGTGGAAGAGTAGTCTAGTGTGTGATAGCTCAGAGCAAGAAAGGTCACATTTGTCACATTTGCATTTTTTTCCGAATTTCACAGCTAATTTTCTGAATGAAATAACTTCTATGAGTAGATAAGTCACACGACTTAACTATAGCAAAACACATATTCAAAAATGAGTAAATGACTCCTAGGTACAAATCTACTCTCCATCAACTCATAAATGATAAACCATACTGTCAACACTTAGATTTACATAATATTTTCCATAAAACCTTTAACTGCATTAAATTGTTCTTCTGGCTCAAAACTTTTGTAGGAATTTCTTAAATATAAACTTCAATAGGCACTGATTATTTTTTCCCATTACATTAAAAAACTGATTCCTTTAAAGTTATTTAAAATATGAAATTATTAAAAATAATATTTCTGGATAAGCGGAGTATAACCATGTGAACAAGTAAGCTCATGATAAATGCCTATATACTCAGAGGGTTTTCATGCTTGTTTGACAGTGATCTGTTCAAGAAAGAGTAAGAAGTAATTTTAGGTGATAAATATTAAGTAGGCAGATTAATATCCTTGGTTGCACTGAGAATATCTTCTTTCTGTGAAAGTTTTAAAAATGAAATTATTGTACATTATCTGGACTTTTCATTCAAATCTAGTATAGCACGAATCAAATACATAGTCAGAAAAGTTATGAATTGATATCATTCTAATGGATTATCTCAGTCATTAAATAAACTCCTAATTCTTGCTTTAAATTAGCTCTTGCTGCTGGAGAAGCTCAAAGTTTTTATAAATTCTCATTAGTCTGCTCAGAAATATTGAGAAAAAAGTACAGTTCCTTCCATCCTGTGTGAGAACTGGCTGGAAAGGTCAAGAGACTTATACGAAATCACTTGGTGTGAGACAGTGGCCAAATGTAAGCCACAAAAGTACATTCTGCTTCAAAAATCCTGCTAATGATTCCACCAAGTAGTTTATACTGCAAAGCATCACCCATTGAATTAAAATTAGTAGTGAAGGATGATTCATCCAGGGAATCCTAAACTTAGCCTCTGTCTTTCATCACAAAAGGAAAATAATTCACAAGGTTTCTCTTCTTTGACAGTCTCTGTTAGGATGCTTGTATGTACTAACTCTGTGTTCAGCTATGTACTGGGGTTTAGAAGGTCTTTTGTTTGATACCAGTCTTTCATTAGGTGAGGCAACACCAAGTGCTATTGCAAGATAATATTATTCAGAGGAATTGCATTTCTTGATTCTTTCTAGGAGGCGCTATAGAACATTTCAGTCAAAATGCTGGCAGCATGTGACTAGAAAGTGCCATGAAGATGAGCTCTGCATCAGTACCTTAAGCCAGCAGGACCTCATTTGCTCAGGAAGTGATGACTGCAAAGCAGCTTATATTGGTACCTTTGGGACAGTCCTTCAAGTACAGTGCACCTGTAGGACCATTACACAAAGTGAAGAATCTCTGTGTAAGATTTTCCAACACATGCTTCATAGAAGATCATGTTTTGGTAAGTTATATATATTCAGTAAATCATACTTTTTTTTTTTTTGTCTATGCAGCACAAAGTAATAATCCAGCATAGAAAATTTAACAAAGACAACCTTATGTTTGCTGTTCCATTTTATCTTTTTAAAAAATTTTTTAAAAGATTTTATTTATTTGAGAGAGAGAGAGAGAGAGAGATCACAAGCCAGTGGGGGGGTGTGTGTGCACAGGTTGAGGAGGCAGAGGGAGAGGCAGACTCCCTGCTGAGCAGGAAGCCCGATGTGAGGGTCAAGCGTAGGAACATGGGATCATGACCTGAGCTGAAGACAGACGCCCAGCCGCCGACTAAGCTGCACTGGTGCACCTGCTATTCCATTTTAAAATGTATTTTCTAATTATGTTTTGTGTATTTGTTATTTTACTCATTTATATGTAAGTGGTATATGTGTTTTAATGTATATGGTTGGCCACTCCTATGTATCATTTATTGATTTCAATATCAACAGCATGCAGGATTTATCCTACAAGATTACTGAGTATGTCAGTTATCTATCATGAATAACAACCCCAAAATGTAGTAGCTTAAAATAACCACTTATTGGCTCATAATTCTGGACAATGCGCTTAGCTTAGTTGTGTGGTTCTTCCAATGGTCTTGCTGGGGGCCACTCAAGTAGCTACTGTCATCAAGGGACTCAGCTGAGGCTGGATGGTCCAAGATGGTATCCAGCAAGCACTACTGACTGGGATGCATGATTCTCCTCATGTGTCCTCTTTAGCAGTTGACTCTGGACTCTTACACAGGTGACATCGCGTTCCCAGCAGGTAAGCCCCGATCTGCATGTACTTACCAATTATCTGCATCTGTCACATTTGCTAATGTCTTGTTGGACAGAGACAGTCCCATAACCAAATCCAGAATCACTATGAGAGGAAACTATACAAGGATATATATTTTTATTATATTATATTATTATATTATATTATATATTATATTATATGTATTATATGTATTATAATATATTATATTATATTATAATAGATTCTTTGGGTGATCATTAATTTAATCATCTAATACAGCTGTCCCAACCTCTGTAAAACATTGACTCTTGGATTTAGTTTTTCTGCTCTTGGTCTTTAACATGTCTGCTCATCTACCTGTAATGAGAGGCTGGAAACATATTCTTTAAAGGTAATATTTACTCAATTTTACGAATTAAAAAACTGAGATTTAGGAATTTTACTATTTGCCCAGAGCCTCAGAATAAGCAAGTGGTTGACAGGGATATGTGTAGGCATCTTATGGAAAAAAAAAAAAATCTAAGGATGTGATCACATATTAATTCAAGACATCTCTATCATCCATCTTCAAGGGTTTGTCCTTACAGCTATCCATGTCTTAAAATATCCCCAGGCCCACTGGCTCTTCATTGTAACCATGGAATCTGCAAATACCATTCCAAGGAGAAAATCATAGATGTTTACTGTTTTACTGCAAACCAGATCTTTATATTTACACATAAATTTGACAGATAGAGTTATGAATATATCTATACCATACCCATTTAACTATATATAGATACACACATTTTAAATGTTTTCTTTTTTCTTAGATACTAAAGAGATACACATTAACTAATGTGATCAAAATTGTGATTTGTTGTGTATTAGATAACACATACACAACTCAGAGTGTATGGTTTTAATTCCAACAGAGGTCTCTGTGGAATTTTTACAATTTCTATAATTAGCACCATTTCAAATCAAATTTCATATTCAACTTAAATCATGATACAGAGTGGAAAATTGTAACATTACTTGTGTTGAGCCATATTCCATAAATAATGGAATATTAGGTGGATAATCCTGTTAGAACTAAAGGTACTTATAAGGAATGGTTAATAGCATTATAGAAGGAATAATAAATAAATAATTTAATTTATAATTATAAATTATAAAATAAAGTAAAAATAAATAAAATAATTTAAACCAACAGAAATAAATACAGTTATATTACCATGGTAATTTATAAGTGGGTTTTTCCATATTAAATGATATCCAGGAAAAAAAAAAAATAGGAAGATCCTACATGTCAGCGGTAAATCAGTTCCTAAAAATGCCGGTCCCGACAACCTAATTCCAGTTCCGAATCTGATTTTCTCCCATGTGTTTTTAATCATTGTTATACTTTATGTGCATTGTGTTTAGCTGCTGTAACCTGTACACAGCCAAAAAATTTGTAGAAAAACAGCAGAAATGGACACTTAAAAAGCCATAAACATTGAAGTACTATGTAATGTTTTGGACAAATGAAAATTCAAAACTCTTTCACTTTCTTTATTCACTTAGACTAAACTTTGTGAGATTTTCTTTTCAAACATCACTTACTAAAAGTAGGAGTTTCAAGTGACAGCTTTGAAGAATTAAAGGAACATTCAAGGCCTTCCATCATAGTTCTTGAATTGACAGGAAACGTTTCAAAACAAAGCAAGAACTAAGTCTTTCAGCCTGGCTAGTTCTTACAAACCTTTATCCCCTATTCCAGGTACTTGAGAAGAAGCACAACGACAGTTTTGAAGGAACCATTTCCCTAACATGTTTCCATCCTGACTACTCACATCACTGTGGCCTGCTCATGCATCATCGAAATGATTCGTCCATGTAGCTCCTTTCCAAAGCTCTTGGGCTTTGGCTCACTCTTCTTGAAAGGAGCTGAATGGAGTAGGGCTGAGAGGGTAGTTTTGGAAGATTTTCAGTTTGCCACCTTTGTTTGGCTTAGAAGCATTATTTTTCAAATTCATTTGACCCCAGACAGCAGAAGGCAAGGCATGTTACATTAGCTTTTGATGTGCAATGTCTTCTATTACATTAATTGTTCCATTAACTGTCCATTAATTACAACGCTGACTACTCCCACTAAAATGACTTCATGCGAGCTAATCTGTTGTTGCCTGAAGTTTGAAAAACACTTGCTTGGAGCATAAGTTCATCTGGAAATAATCTTCATGGATGTCTCCAAGCCAGTCTTATAATAATTACAAATAATTATAGAGTAGTTAGCATTTATTGAATGCTTATTTTTCAGTTACATTTTCTCATCTAGTCTTAACGTTTCAGTGAGTTAGATACTATTATTTTCTCCATTTCATACATGAGGAAAAGGAATCTAAGGGATAAAATGGCTTGCTCAGGGTTCTACACCCAGGAGCAGGCAGCAGCCTCAGGATCAAACCCAGGCTGGCTGACTTGGAGCCTGCTATGGAGGCTGCTATGTTCTCCTTCCTGCCTGTGAAATGGTAAAGACAAGCTCGAATCTGCACATGCTCCAAAGCCCTCTCCATGGGAACCTCTTAGTTCTGCTAGCTTTGAAAACACGCAGAAGAACCCACCTCCATTCCTGCATGCAGGACTGGATTTAGACAAATTAACTTTTTCCTGAGCAGATTGTGTATTTGGCCACTAACTTCCTCTTAACACCACACTTGTGGATCCATACAGACTTCCTTTTCCCCTATATCTTGCAGCACAGAGCAAGTCTATGACAGTTAGAGCTCAGAGAGAGGTGGGTAAAATGGAAGAGAGAGGAACTGGTTGAGACTGAGAGCCTTCCAGAAGTGGAAGGAACAGAAAGAGTACTGCTGTGTTTCCTTGTTCCCTTGAAAGACTCAAGTCTGCAGATGTGAGGGTACCTGGCACTGACAGGAATGTTCTATTTTGCCTTGCTCAACATTGCCTTTTTTAATGTCAACTGTAGTCAAAGAGATTTGGACACATCACTATTCTGCCTCTAAAGACTCAGTTTTTTTTTTTCTTTTCTTTTTGAAGAATGATTTTTAAAGAATAAAAATAAAAAGAGACTACCTTTCTCTATTAAATCCTATGGGAAATGGAAAGCATATCAACACAGATATAATAGAAGTTTAAACAAAATTTAAAGAAAACAGAAATAAAAAATTCTGCCCCTAATCCTATTCTTTAAAGAGCGTCAAGGTTAACAAAGTTGATACACATTATTTTGAAACTTTTTTTCTTATAATACATACATAACTTGAAAACTTTGTATGCATGTAAACAGATGCCCACCTCACACTGATGCACACATATACAAATATTTTTTAATGGAATGAAACTATACATAATTCTTTACAATTTGCTTTTTGTTTTATTTTGTTTTTGTTTTTGTTTATTATTTTATTTTATTTCTTTTCAGTGTTCCAGAATTCATTGTACAATTTGCTTTTTAACTTGAAAATATATGGTGGGATATTTGTAATACATACGTATTTGATGACTTTATTATTTTTTTTAAAGTTGCATAACATCCCACAGTATATGTGCACACATATGCATACATATGTGTATACCATAATTTATTTAATCTATAACTAATAATTTGGACATTTAGGTTGAAAGTGATTATTTATTATGATAGGCATTGTTAAAATTAATGTCATTGCACATTTTAGTTGGCATTTCAATAGACTATATTTCAAACAGTGAGATTAGTAGACCATTGGATTTTTATATTTTTAAATTTGGTAAAAACTAGGGAAAAAAAAGCTTGTTCCAATTACATTCTTAGAAAAATCTTAATGTTTTAATTGACATTTTATTATAAGTGATGCTGAACATTTGTTCAGTGGTTTTTTGGAAATGTTCTGTCTTTGACCTACTCATATTCTTTGTCTGACACATCTGCCTTTTTTAGTATCAGTAAGTGGAATTTTTGTTACCTGTATCAGAAATTTGTATTGATATGTGAGAATTCACTAATCTGCACACCTCTTAAAATAATCTTAATTTCATAATCTCTTAGGGAGAAGTGATGATCTGTTATATTTGGGCTTTTGCTCAGATCTTGACCTGCTATGTGTTATCTGGGTTACGTAAATAGGAAGTTTTAAAATCATTTCTTGAATAGTCAACCATTCTTCAACTGGGTAATCTCCACTGCCATTAATAGTTACCAAAGAAAAAGTAGAATACAAAACCAAAAACAGACTCTTAAACTATAGATGACAA